CTGCTTCTGCCAGGGCTGCCAGGGTCAGGTGAAGTTCAGTCTGGGCTCTCTGCTGCTGCCAGGGCCAAGTCAAGGTGAGTCTGGGCTCCCTGCTGTTACCACAGCCGGGTGAAGGCAACTCAGGGTTCCCTGCTACTGCCAGGGCTGGGTCAAGGTGAGTCTGGGCTCCCTGCTGCTGTCAGGGCTCTGCTGCTGCCAGAGCTCCCTGCTGCTGTCAGGGCCAGGTGAAGGCAACTCAGGGCTCCCTGCTGCTCCCATGGCCAGAAGAAGGCGAGTCAGAGCTCCTGCTGCTGCCAGGGCTCCCTGCTAGGGCTGCCAGGCCCAGGTGAAGGTCAGTCAGGGCTCCCTCCCCTCTCAGTCCAGCAGAGGTTGGGTTCCCCCCTCCCCAGATCAATAATGGATTGGTAAGTGACTCGGTAGCTGTCGATGGGATCAGCCTGTGCCCCACTCCCCCAGAGGGCTGGGCAGGGCGGGTGGCACCATCCCGCAGTGCCAGGGCACTGGGAATGCTGCTCTGCTCCCTGCAGGTGCTGCTGGCAGGGCTGCACAGCAGCTGCAAGGAGAACCGGCTGCGGGAGTGCCTCAGGAAGGTGCAGGAGAGCACCTGAGCTGCCTGACAGCGTCACCCCCCTTTTGTACAATAAAACTGTATTTATTTCAGAGTTCTGTCGTTCTTGTCCCACCTACACCTCCCCCAGACACATCTGAGGTTTCTCCAGCCTTACAGGGAGCAGCAGAGCCCCCCAGGCCAGGGCCCTTCCTGGAGCAGAGGAGGTGGGAGATGTTCTGAGCTGGGCTTCACCCCCTTGTACACTCACTGCAACTACCTGGGCTGGGGCAGACCCTGCTGTTGTTGCAGAAAACATGTGGAGTGTCCAACCAGGAGTTCTGGGGGTCCTGTGGGGGTGGGAGGCGGGTGGCAGAGGCTGCAGTCAGACGTGGTGACAGCTGGAGCTCTGTCAGTCAGCACCAAGTGGGAGCAGAGGGCTCAGGCTGCTTTTGTCTTGGTGCTTGGCTCTGTTTCCTCCTCGTACTCTATCTCGATGTAAGGACGTTTTCTCCTGGCTGGGCCCTTCAGGGGCGTTTTCCCTTTAGATTTGGAGTGGGAGGCTTTCTTCTCTACTTCTTCCTCCTCTTCCTGCTCCTCTTCACTGCTTGTCTCCAACTTATCCATGTCCTGAGGAGGAATTGAGTGAGCAGAGTGACATCAGATTGTGCAACTAAACCTCCTCTTTCCCCAAAGGATCCCACTCCACAGTCCCTGCCTCCAGAGGAGCTGGGCTGGGCTCCCACTGCACCATTCTCTTCCAGAGCTGGTTTTGCTGCCTCTTCCCCATGCCCAGAGGCACCCAAGGGTGGAGGTGCCCGTGCAGCTCCGCCTCAGTGTGTGCCTCGTGCTTCACCCACCTCAAAGTCGCTGAGCTCGCTGTCCTCTGCTTCCACAAACTCCCTTTTATCCACGTCCTGCAAGGAACACAGGCAGGGACTGAGCACAGCAGTGTCGTGGAAGAGCCACCAAGGCCACCACGAGGTTTTCCTGAGCTGTCCTGAGCTCTTCTCAGCCTAGCTCAGCACCAGGGCAGCGCTGGAAGCTTTACCTCATCATCATCATCTTCCTCCTCCCTCTCTGCATCCGACTCACTCTCGCTCTCTGCGTCTTGCTGCTGCAGGGCTTTGTCAAAGGCGTGGATGGGGAAGTTGTAAATGTCTCCATACTGAAAGGAAAATTGGGATTTTCCATAAGCCTCAGGAGGACACTGCCAGCCTGCACGGGGCAGCACCAGCCTGAGGTGAGGATCAGCCCTTCCCAACTCGGAGCCCACGCCCCTGCACAGAGCAGGGGGGAGCCCTCGTGTTTTGGGGAGCCCTCGTGTTTGGGGCTCCTTGTGCACAGAAGGGGAATCTTTGTGTTTTGGGGCTCCCTGTGCACAGAGAAGGAGGGGAGCCCTCATGTTTTGGGGCTGTGTTTTGGGGAGCCTCTGTGTTTTGGGGCTCCCTGTGCACAGAACCTGAAGGCAGCCCTCGTGTTTTGGGGCTCCCTATATTTTGTGGAGCCCTTGTGTTTTGGGGAATCCTCATGTTTTGGGGCTCCCTGTGCACAGACGGGCAGCTCTTGTGTTTTGGGGCTGCCTGTGTTTTGGGGAGCCCTTGTGTTTTAGAGCTCTCTGTGCACAGAAGGGCAGCTCCTGTGTTTTGGCGAGCCCTTGTGTTTTGAGGCTCCCTGTGCACACACCTTGAAGGCAGCCCTCATGTTTTGGGGCTCCCTATATTTTGTGGAGCCCTTGTGTTTTGGGGAGCCCTTGTGTTTTGGGGCTCCCTGTGCACAGACAGGCAGCTCTTGTGTTTTTGGGCTGCCTGTGTTTTGGGGAGCCCTTGTGTTTTGGGACTCCCTGTGTTTTGGGGCTCCCTGTGTTTTGGCAAGCCCTTGTGTTTTGAGGCTCCATGTGCACAGAACCTGAAGGCAGCTCTCGTGTTTTGGGGCTCCCTATATTTTATGGAGCCCTTGTGTTTTGGGGAATCTTCATGTTTTGGGGCTCCCTGTGCACAGACGGGCAGCTCTTGTGTTTTGGGGCTGCCTGTGTTTTGGGGCTCCCTGTGTTTTGGGGCTCTGTGTTTTGGGGCTCCCTGTGTTTTGGGGCTCTGTGTTTTGGGACTCCCTGTGTTTGGGGACTCCCTGTGTTTGGGGCTCTGTGTTTTGGGACTCCCTGTGTTTTGGGGCTCCCTGTGTTTTGGGGCTCTGTGTTTTGGGGCTCCCTGTGTTTTGGGGCTCTGTGTTTTGGGGCTCCCTGTGTTTTGGGGCTCTGTGTTTTGGGACTCCCTGTGTTTTGGGGCTTTGTGTTTGGGGCTCTGTGTTTGGGGCTCTGTGTTCTGGGGCTCCCTGTGTTTTGGGGCTCTGTGTTTGGGGCTCTGTGTTTGGGGCTCTGTGTTTTGGGGCTCTGTGTTTTGGGGCTCCCTGTGTTTGGGGCTCTGTGTTTTGGGGCTCCCTGTGTTTTGGGGAGCAATGCACCCCACTCCCGAGGCAGCAGTGCAGGGCAGCCCGCGCTGCGAGCTGCGTGTGCCGCTCACCGTGTCCTGCTTCAGGCGCTCCAGCAGCTCCTTCTCGATGGCGTTGTCCAGCTGGGCAGCGACCAGAGCTTTCTCCTAGGGAGCACAGGGCAGCGGGGTGAGGCCCAGGGCAGGGGGACAGCAGCGGTGGCACCAGGGGACACGGGGCACTCCTTACCTCCCGCCTGTTCTCGCGCCTCTCGATCTTCCTGCGCAGCGGGACGAGCTTCCTCCTGCAGGGAACAGGCACTGGCAATGTCACAGCCCCTGGCAGGCAGCAGCAGCCAGGGCTGTGACATTCCCACACGTCTGCAACGTCCTCAGGTGCCTCAGGATGAGAGAGAGCTAAAGGTGGTAGAGAGCGTCCAAAGGATGGGGAAGGGTCTGCAGGGCCCACAGGAGGAGCAGCTCCTCCCAAGGGACAGCTCTGATCTCTGCTCTCGGTGACAGGGAGTGGCTGGAGCTGTGGCAGGGCAGCGTCAGGCTGGATTTTAGGGGAAGTTTCTCCCCACAGAGGGTGCTGGGCAGTGTCCCCAGGGAATGGGCACGGCTCTGCCGGAGCTCCCAGATGGACACCGCTCCCAGGGATCACAGGTGGGGCTGTTGGGGTGTCTGTGCAGGGCCAGGAGCTGGGACCAGAGGTCCCCATGGGTCCTCTCAGTGCATCTGCACGCTGCATTCCTGCAGCTCATCCCCGTCAGATCCATCTGAACCCCTCAGGAAAACAGGGACCAGGTCCATGTCCCGGCAGCGCCAGCGGCTCAGGAGAGGGGCAGTGGCTCCAGAAGCCACCAGTGGTCACTGCCCTGGTCACTGCCCTGTCCCTTACTGTCTCTTGAGGGTCAGCTTGCGGATGCGGATCAGGTACTGCGTGATCTTGGTGAACCTCTGCTTGCACTTGTGCCGGATGAAGCGCGGCCAGTAGATGAGGTTCTCGTCGATCTCCTCCAGAGCCTTCTCGTAGTTCTTGCTCAGCAGCACCTGCAGGGGCAGGGGAAGGGCTGGGTGACACGGCAGGACAAAAAGGGGACGTTTGGGAGTGGCTGCAGAGTCACGGAATCATGAAGGAAAAGCCCTCCAGGGTGCATCCCCACCTTGTCCCCAGCCCCGAGCACCGAGTGCCACCTCCAGGATGGGGATTCCAAACCTCCCTGGGCACTTCCATGCTTGAGCAGCCTTTCCATAGAGAGATTCCTGCCCCTGTCCCCGCCCTGGAACAGCCTCCCTGCCCTCCCTGGGGACACCACAGCTGTGTCCCTGCCGTGTCCCCGAGCTCACCCGCTCCCAGAGGCGCCGGGGAAACGCCGCCCGCTCGATGGTCTTCATGTAGAGGTAACAGCGACCTGGAACAGGGAACAACCCCTGAGCCCTGCCCAGAGCCAGGCTGCCCTTACCCACCCACCCCAGAACCAGCCAGGCTGGAAGAGACTCCCACACCAAACCCAACCTCTGCTCCCCGGAGTGCCACATCCAGGCATCGCCACGGCACCTCCGGGGATGGGGACCCCAAACCCCCCGGGCCCTTTGCAAGGCCTGATCACCTCTCCAGGCAGGAATCCCTGCTCCCACCTTTCTCCTCACGGACTGTGGCGTACTGGCTGTTGGCCAGCGGGCAGGAGGAGCGATTGCACAGCCCCGTCAGGTTGTACTCGTTCCGGCAGAAATTCTGAGTTTTGGTGCTGCAAAAAACGGGCAGGGAATTCATCAGGGCAGGGCAGGAAGAGCCCACAGCTCACCCCATCCCCTGTGAGTCTCACATGTGGCCCTGGTGGCACAGAGGGGACACCTTAGGGGGTACCCGTGAATTAGAAATTTATTAAAAATAATAAATTTCTTATTAAAGAAATACAGATACTGATCTAGTACCAATATTCAACTGTGACGGACAAAAACTCTCTAACAGTTTAAAGTTAGAAAGTGTGTGTTTATTGTGTGTGGGATCGCTCCCAAATCCACACTGAGCCTTCCAGGTGATTACAGAGCCCTTTTATCCATCCAAGTGTTGAATACCCAAAATACAAATACATATTCATCATTTTGGTACATCCCATTCCCTGCTTCGTATGCTAATAACTTCAAAAGCCATTCAGCACGTGTGGTTTGTTCTTTGAAATGGGTCGGTGTCCCTTTCATGGGAGGGGTCCCAAAATGACAAAGTAAATTAAGTCTTCCTCGTTCTAACCTTTCTACCTTTTCAATGCAAATATGACAAATGAACTCTTGGTAGAACTCCCATTCCTTGTCTTCAGTTGGTTTCAGAACAGAGGCCCACAATTGTCTTATGTTCCTAAAAGCTATTTTATCAATTTCTATTTTTTATTATAAACCCAGCTAACTAAACATTGTGCTAACAAGCAATCAATTATCAGTTAACTACTAACTCTTAACTTCAAGGCCTACTCATTTATTTTAATTAACTCTAGTAAGGCTTATCTCTAACTAAAATCTTAGCTCCTCTAAAATCTCTAAATTCCTTAAAATTTATGTTTCACCCATTCCCTGCTTGGTCCCCCGAAGCCCCCGAGACTCACGTCATCTTGTAGGAGCAGAACTGCCTGTTGCCCAGCATGCTCCAGACAACCTGCGGGGACAAACAGCGGTGACACAGCAGGACACACCGAGACAGTCACGGCTCCGTGACACGGCTCCGTGACAGAGCTCCGTGTCTGTGACACGGCTCCGAGACACGGCTCTGAGACAGCACTACGTGACACGGCTCCGTGACAGAGCTCCGAGACACGGCTCCGAGACACGGCTCCGTGACACGGCTCCGAGACACGGCTCCGTGACAGAGCTCCGTGACACGGCTCCGTGACACGGCTCCGAGACACGGCTCCAAGACACGCTGCGTGACACGGCTCCGTGACACGGCTCCGTGACACGGCTCCGTGACACGGCTCCGAGACACGGCTCAGTGACAGAGCTCCGTGACACGGCTCCGTGACACGGCTCCGAGACACGGCTCACCACTGCTCACCTGCACGGCCCCCCAGGGAGGCTCTGATGGGGCGCACCCCGCACACATCAGGGTTCCTTCGGTGTCCCCCCAGCACACACCCGGATTTCCCCCGGTGTCCTCCGGGGGTTTCCCCGGTGTCCCCATCAGGGACACCCCGCACACATCGGGGTTTGCTCAGTGTCCCCGGGGGGGGTTTCCCTGATGTCCCCCGGGGCTTTCCCCGATGTCCCCCGGGGGTTTCCTCGGTGTCCCCTGGGGGTGTCCCCGCTGTTCCCCGGGGGTTTCCCCGGTGTCCCCAGCAGGGACACCCCGCACACATGGGGTTTGCTCGGTGTCCCCCGGGGGTCTCCCCCCTGTCCCCCGGGGCTTTCTCCGCTGTCCCAGGGGGGTCTCCCCGCTGTCCCCCGGGGGTCTCCCCCCTGTCCCCCGGGGCTTTCTCCGCTGTCCCCCGGGCTGTCCCCGCTGTCCCCCGGGCTGTCCCCACTGTCCCCCGGGGCTTTCCCCGCTGTCCCCCGGGGCTTTCCCCGCTGTCCCAGGGGGGTCTCCCCGCTGTCCCCCGGGCTGTCCCCGCTGTCCCCAGCAGGGACACGCGGCACAGCCCAGGTGCCGCCGCCAAGTCCGCACGTCCCCGTTCACCCNAGAACTGCCTGTTGCCCAGCATGCTCCAGACAACCTGCGGGGACAAACAGCGGTGACACAGCAGGACACACCGAGACAGTCACGGCTCCGTGACAGAGCTCTGTGACATGGCTCTGAGACACGGCTCCGAGACACGGCTCCGAGACAGCACTACGTGACACGGCTCCGTGACAGAGCTCCGACACACGGCTCCGAGACACGGCTCCGTGACACAGTTCCGTGACAGAGCTCCGAGACACGGCTCCGTGACAGAGCTCCGTGTCTGTGACACGGCTCCGAGACACGGCTGCGAGACACGGCTCCGAGACAGCACTACGTGACACGGCTCCGTGATACGGCTCCGTGACAGAGCTCCGTGTCTGTGACACGGCTCCGAGACACAGCTCCGAGACATGGCTGCGTGACACGGCTCCGAGACAGAGCTCCGTGACACGGCTCCGTGACAGAGCTCCGAGACACGGCTCCGAGACAGAGCTCCGTGACACGGCTCAGTGACACGGCTCCGAGACACGGCTCCGTGACACAGCTCCGAGACACGCTCCGAGACAGAGCTCCGAGACACGGCTCTGAGACACAGCTCACCACTGCTCACCTGCACGGCCCCCTGGGGAGGCTCTGATGGGGCGCACCCCGCACACATCAGGGTTCCTTCGGTGTCCCCCCAGCACACACCCGGATTTCCCCCGGTGTCCCCATCAGGGACACCCCGCACACATCGGGGTTTGCTCGGTGTGCTCTGGCAGAGATACCCTGCACGCATCGGGTTTTCCCCCGGCAGGGACACCCCGCACACATCGGGGTTTGCTCAGTGTCCCCCGGAGGATTTCCCCAGTCTTCCCCGAGGCACACCCCGCACACATCGGGGTTCCTTCGGTGTCCCCTCCGCACACATCGGGGTTCCCCCGGCAGGGACGCCCCGCACACACCGGGCTTTCCCCGCTGTCCCCCGGGGGAGTGTCCCCGCTGTTCCCCGGGGCTTTCCCCGCTGTCCCCCGGGGCTTTCCCCGCAGTTCCCTGGGGTGTCCCCGTTGTCCCCCGGGGCTTTCTCCGCTGTCCCCGGGGGAGTGTCCCCGCTGTCCCCCGAGGCTTTCCCCGCTGTCCCCCGGGGGAGTGTCCCCGCTGTCCCCCGGGCTGTCCCCGTTGTCCCCCCGGGCTGTCCCCGCTGTCCCCCGGGGCTTTCTCCGCTGTCCCCCGGGGGAGTGTCCCCGCTGTCCCCCGGGGGTCTCCCCGCTGTCCCCCGGGGCTTTCCCCGCTGTCCCCCGGGCTGTCCCCGCTGTCCCCAGCAGGGACACGCGGCACAGCCCAGGTGCCGCCGCCAAGTCCGCACGTCCCCGTT